ATATGGCATTTTAAACCCTTCCCACACTCTTGCAATATTCTAAACAATGTTTCAAAATGCTAAATGCTCTAAAAAAGCACCGCATTTCATGATTTCAGCTCCCTGCCTCCTCTGCTCTTGGCCACGCCCACTTCTCTGCTCTGCACAGAGAACAGCTGATCAGCTGCAGCAGGAAGTTTCTCCTGCAGCTCTGAGCTGCACAAATGTGCAGCAGGTGCTAAATCATTTAAAATAATTTATTTTAAATAAATATTCCATGCCGATCGTGCGGCTCTTCCATCATTCAGCCAGTTGTGTGTCATGTCCACTCTTATTTTGAAAAACCGCGATAGAGCGAGTCCACGATAAAAGAACCGTGAAAAAGTGAGGGACTACTGTACTTTATTTTTGGAGTCTTTAAGGTTCAATCTAGTTCTGGAAACACGATGACTTCAGGAAAATAAAGTTTTTGATGTAACTGTCCATGAGGGTTAATTTAGACTAAAGTGTCATTGATAAAGTGCAGGTTTTCATCAACTTATTTAAAAAGTTGTTTTGTTTCCCCCAATTAAGAATATTGAAGGCCGGATAGAGATTGTCCAAGGGGCCCTTGGGCCATATGTTTCCCACGTCTGGTCTATCTTGATTGTGATTGGCTGAATGACTCATTCGGAATGAATCACTTGACTGGTTCACGATCCAATCAGCTGATTCTCTGGCACTGCCTCGTCTCGATTCTGACAGGTGACAAGTTCAAACGGTTTTGAATGTGGTCGTGCTCACCACTATAAAATCATTACGAGAAGTGCGCAGTGTGTTGGGAGAGTGGGTGCGTTTGTGCTGTTGTGGTGTTGAGATTGTATCATTGTGGAGGCAGCCAGGAAGAAAAGTCCTCACACGTGGGAACACTTCATTCTGCTCGCTCATAAGGTGGTTCTGTAAGTCAAGTCCAGCAGTAAAGATATCCACATGTCAAACTCAAGGTCCAAGGGCCACTTATGGCCCTTGGAAACATTTTTTCTGGCCCTCAAGATGAAATTTTAAATGCAAGATATTTTTATCACTATTATTTCTATGTTGCTTTAAAAACTTCATTTAGTGCAGACTTCTCTTGACAACTGGCCAACCTTGAAGCCCATCCATCCATCCATCCATCCATCCATCCATCCATCCATTATCTTTACCCGCTTATTCCATTTTGGGTCACGGGGGTCGCTGGTGCCCATGTCCAGCAATCACTGTGCGAGGGGCGGGGTACACCCTGGACAGGTCACAAGTCCATCACAGGGACACATAGAGACAAACAACCATTCACTCTCTCACTCACACCTAGGGACAATTTAGAGTTACCAATCAGCCTAACATGCATGTTTTTGGACTGTGGGAGGAAACCGGAATACCCGGAGAAAACCCACGCATGCACGGAGAGAACATGCAAACTCCACCCAGAAAGGCCCCTGGACCGGGGTTTGAACCAAGGACCTTCTCGCTGAGAGGCAGCAGCTCTACCAGTTGTGCCACCGTGCTGCCCCCTTGAAGCCCAAAAGATTAATATTTTCAGACATCTTTAATTTTGATGTGAACAAGTGGAACAGTCAAATAAGCCTGATCCAACTCGTGTTGAGGAACCTGCAATCAAGAAAGAACGTCAGGCTTTTGACTTGAGTTTATGTATTCATTGAAACTGGCCCCTGGTTTGAACCATTCATTTTGCCCCCTTATGTATTTGAGTTTGACACTCCAATAGCATTACAGTAAAATGATGTAAATGATTTTTGTAGTCATAAGGCTGTATGGACTCAAATTTTATTCTGACATGACGGATCCACCGCTGGACAGACCAGAACACCCACTGGTGTACTGTCTGAACAATCAACATGTGTACCCACATCTGTTCACACTGGTGAAACATTTTTTATGCACGCCAGCATCATGTGCCCTGCGAGCGAGTATTTTCCAAGTGTGGAGAGCTGGTGAGCAAAAAAAGAAACCGGCTAAGTCCTAAAACTGTTGAAAAACTGATGTTCCTCAATAAATCTTTGATAGTTCCTGATCTTTGCACTGTTTTCCACAGGACTCTGGATTTCTCGTCATTTCATGGTTATTTCTTACAAAGATAAAGACCCTGACTCTGTCATAGTAACAAAAGCACACCGATACCATACAATTTGTACAATGCTCATTCAATCTGTATTTGAACATGGACTGTGTAAACACCGTTTAAAACCAAATAGTCCAAGTGAAATCATGGAAAGTTGCTACATAACTGAAACTGTTGTATACCAGAGTAAAGTAGCTTCTTCTTTAGCACTCTTCATTAAGGGGGGTGCAATAAAATCAGATTCTGATTTAACTGCAGCCCTGCAGGTGGCCAGGAGAGGTCGCTGTAACTGAAGCTTCAACAAATGAACCAATTGTTTGAAACATTTGGCCCTGGTGGTTCGCTGCTTCATAAAAGCTTCATTTCCCATCATTAGTTGTATTGTAGACAGAAACCTTGGTGTTTTCTTAAAGCCCAGGGAAATTATACCATCTACCACACCTCCGACACCCCCTGAAAACACCTCTTCAGATCTAAATGTTCACGTCAATTATGCATTTTTGGTTGAAATCTGCTAATTTCGCCGCAAAGTGACAAGTTTGCACGTACAATTATTGACCGGTCTTGATCATACCTGGAATTTCCAAACTCTGTCGAGGAGCTAACGCATGTGAGCAGGATCTGATGCAGCTCGTCATCCGTAGTTGCAGTTTCCTTACCGTTGCACTTCATTGCATCAGAACGTCTTTGTGTTTCTGCCTCACGGTGTCAGCTGTCGAGCTGCTGCTGTCAGAACACACTGCAGAGTAAAAATGTCAGCACCCTTTATTTATAGCACACACACACACACACACACACACAGCATATTCTGTACATGTTCATCATCACGGTGAAGTCAAACTGAGCTGTATTTTCTGCAGCCCTCTGTTGTTTGGTCGGAGTTCACTTCAGAGAAACTTGCAAAAAGACGTAAAATGTTACAACAACAACAAAAATGTACAGAGGTGACTTTCTGCATGCAGCGTTACTGTAAGAGAAACGGTTGACTTGTTTGTAGAAACAAAGCTTTATGACGATAAATGACTGCAGTTTTTGTTACTTTGCTGACAACGTTGTAAACATTTAGTCATTTGTTTCCAGGTTATTAGTGGTAAAGTCAGCTGTTCTGTGTAGGTTCAAAAACTGTGATGTGAAGGATCTGATCCTAAGAAACTCAACTTTTATTTTTGGTAAATTAAAAACATTACAAAAAAATGAAAATGGTAAATCAATTTACCAAAAAGGAATAGGCTGAAGCCAAGGCTTCTACCCTGTTCATAGACTCAGCAGTCGTAATGACAGATATCTACTGTCCACATATACACATACAGACATTTACCGTATATTTAAATATTTAAATATGCATGTAGATAATGCATACACATACATTACATACATGGTTACACAATACATATATACATCTACATAACATCTCCATAAGCTTTATAATTTTACATTTTAAGGCTCTTTTAAAGCTCACCAAAAAACCATCATTTGAAATCATCGTTCAGTTCATTCCAAAGTTTCACACCGATAACTGAAATACATCTAGATTTTACTTTACTTTTCTCTTTAGCTTGTTCAAATATTAACTTAAATAATTTCTGAATTCCTGAAGGAATGGCAGTGGCTGAGGGGGGGCTCTGGACTATGCTACGACTTTCCCTTAAAAATTCAACGTCTTCACCTCCTGTATGTTCATGTATAACGTCTGTTTATGTTGCTTTGCTGTGGTAGGATTTATTGATGCCTCAAACTGTGCCCTGTCTAGGACACGGTGTGAGAGATCTTTTTTATATATACCGTCTCTCCTCATGTTTTCTTTCCTTTTCTCATCTAAGCAAAATATTCTTCTGCATAAGAATAAGAAGGCCGCGCTGATTATTTAATAGCCGCAGCTTCGTGCACTCCGCCCATCTTTCGGACGACTGTACGTTTACATTCTCGTTGTATCTCGGTGCAATGACAATAAAGTTTATTCTGATTCTGAAGACTTTTATTCAGCACTTTATACATTATTTCCAGTATTTTTATATAAACAATGTCATTTTTTTCAATGGAAACCTCCATTTTTACAGCAGCACGACGACAAACCTGTTCCTACCATTAAAGGCAGACTGTCCAACACCTCTCAGGCTATTTTAAACAAACATGGTGGCAGGGTTTTGGCTGGGGGGGGCTTTAACTGTGTCCATCACTTCTTGTGCTGCCCAGTTCTTTGTGACCAGTGTGGACATTTTTGGGAAAATGAATAAAACTGGGAGGAACAATACCAGTTGAGCAAAGCTGTTGAGAATCTTGTTTTCTGTAAGAAGTTCTTGTTTAACGCATCATAACCATAATTTCTGACCGAACTCGTCACCACGGACCTGACGTTGCTGCACATAAACAACTTTTTCAGTCTCAGACGTCGTGTTTAAGGTCAGCCATGCTTTGATGGACCCTGCGTCGTTTAATTTCTCAGATTTTGCTGTTGGATTTAAAGTAACCTTTGTACCTGGGGTGGGGGCTGCTTTTTCTCTACACGATGAAACTCTGAGGGACCGATGTCGTTGAGCTAAAAGTGTAGAAACAATCGCAAAAGAAGCCGCAGGAGTTGAGTCATCGTCAGCTGAAGGTCCTTCAGCTGACTTCAGCTCTGCTCCATAAACCTGATCACACCAGTTCACTGCAGGACCTTACTGGTTTTCAGGTTTTGTTTGTTTATCACCTACTGTGATCAAACTTTTATTATTATTATTATTATTATTTTTCAGATCCAGAACACATTAAATTTAGTTTCTGTTTTTTATGCTCACATTTTTATATAAAGCATGATGAACAGTTGGAATAATTAGTGACGAAAACGAGAATTGCCTGTGAGTTTTCTCAGCCTTGAGCTGTAGGTAATCTAGAACATGTTCATTTATCACAACAGATTTAAAGTTAAAATGTGTTTGTTTGTGATTACATCTACTCAGATCTGGTATGATGCTGTACAGAAAACAACAAAATGCTTTTTTTTTTTTTTTGTCAAGGTGATTCTGAAAAGGTTTATCTTGTGAGTTCTGGTCTCACATCAGTTCTCTCTAACTGTTTCCAGGAAACAAATGTGCAACAAAACTATAGCAAAAACTCAAACTTGAAGCCGGTGCTGTCAAACTCCGTTTCAAAATATGGCCAAAATTAAAAACTTGGTTCAAATTGAGGGACAATTTAAATTTTTTTATTTTATAAGTTTATTCTTTTTTTAAAAAAAAACAAAATAAAACAATTCAATATACAATAAGAAATACAATCACACATAAAATGCAAGGCAGCAGAAATGTAAATTTCCGTCCATACACAACCTGAGTCGGGTACCGGTCCTCTTTTTCCAGGTTGCAGGTTCATTTGCCGATCTCTCTGTTCCACGTCAAAATAAAAGCTTACTGAAAATTTCTAACAAATTTTACTTGGCTTCAAAGTTGTCATGAAGTCTACACTGAATAAAGGTTTGAGCACCGTGAGAGGTGACAAAAATATTTTCCATGTAAAATAACCTGATGGCCAGAAAAGATGTCAACGAGGCCCAGATCTGGCCCTCGGGCCTTTAGTTAGACGCATGCTTTAAGCAAAACCGTATCAAAAATCCAAATCTTGTTCGTTCTTCTGCCCACTGCTATGAAAGGTGAGCGATCCTGTAAATGTCTACGTTAGTTAGTCTCTGTTAGTAAAATATCTCACAACTAGTGGATAGATTATGATGAAATGACTTGGACCGTATTCGTGGGATGTTCATCCACAAATGGCTGTAACTCGGTCAGTATTATATTTTGAGCTGAGGTTTGTCGTGGTAGTAGCCGAGAGTCCTCCCAGTCGCACACTGTGAGCTCGTTAGTTGAAGCCTTGGTCCTGCAGTGCAGTGAGCTTTTTAGTTCACTCCCCCTGAAAACACTGACGTGGTCTTTATCGGTGTGAACTGAACTTTCCTCTAACTGTCCCACAGAGTTCATTTGGAGTCAGGAGGAGCCTCAGAACATGGGCCCCTGGTCGTTTGTGGCCCCCAGGTTTGAGAAGCAGCTGGCCTGTAAGGTAAGCAGAGTTTCAACGCTCTGTAGAAAGCACTTGCATCCAGCGCATCAACCGCCTCCTTTGTGTCCGTCAGCTCCGGTTAGTGAGTCGTCCGGCTCTGCCCGCCCCGGCTGTCGGTATCGGGACCCTTCATCATCAGCAGCAGGAGGTCATCCTCACCGCTACGTTTTCCTGAGACTCGGCAGAACAAACGGAGCGGTGCTACACTACAAAATGTACCTGCTGCACAGCAGATGGCACTTCTTGAAACAAACGGTACGAAGATACACTCAAGGAACATGTTAGAGGATGGTTTTAGACATTTTATTTGTACACGTGTCAGGAGACATGTCTTGGTTTTAGTCTGTGGATTTTTAAAAGCATTTCTGCTTATTTCTTAATTTTTCGTCGATCCACATGCCTGTATTCTGTGTTTAACGTGAGGAGGCCTCAGATGTGACGCTTGCAGGGTCAGTGGAAGGACGACGCAGCTGAAAGTTGTTTTTGTGCGACTCGGGGTTATGTAATCAGATTTGTGAAACCTGTACGGGCTTCAAGTTTCAGGAATCCAAACCATTTCATCTGTGTTCATTTTAGTAGTGTCAAGAAACAAAATGTCAGTTTAAATGACTGAAAATCTGAGTGTTTATAAATTTATAAAATTTATCAAATAAAATCAGATCTAAAAGAAAAAGATGAAACCCATTTCTGATCGAACAAAAAAAAAAAGTTTATTATAAACTGCAACAATTTTAGCTTTGATCAAAAAATTTTCTATTTAACCAGAGTTTAAAAACAAGCCTTGAATAAAAACTACTGTCACTATAAGCAGCTGTAAATACAGTGAAATTGAATGTTTTCAAATAAATCTATTTTCATGTTTGTGCTTTGTTTCTTTACATCTTTATTATCTTTTTATTTAACTCATCTTCAGGATAAAAATTCACTACAGTAGTCTGTATCTCTTCAATAAGAAAATAATATTTTACCAAAACTAAATGAACAATAAAATGTGTCTGTGTGGACAGTTTCTTGTCCAAGCTAACAAAAAAAAGTCAAACTGCACAGCTGGACCTCTCATAGATCAATGAAGATCCCGATTGATTTTTAAGGTGACCCATTTGTTAAAACCTTGTCTTTGCTCCAGTTTGATATTCCAGTAACAGAAATATCCAACCCTTTGTCCCCTAAATTGTCCCCATCTGTCCATCCCTTACACCGTACACAGTAAGTTGTCCGTGCTGAAACAACACGATTGTTTAGGATGAAAAACATCAGACTATGGCTCCATGTTTGATCTTCTATTTAAGACTACTTTCACTAACAGAATCTTGAGTGGTACTCGTACAGTCCACTCTGATCATAAAACAGTTTGGACTGGCTGGTCGTCTTCAACAGGTAAGTCCTTCACATTTCACAACAGGTAAGTCCTTCACATTTCACCTGGTAGCCGTGTCTGTATTATACAGGTGCTGATCATAAAAGTAGAATATCATGAAAAAGTTGATTTATTTCAGTAATTCCATTCAAAAAGTGAAACTTGTATATTATATTCATTCATTACACACAGACTGATATATTTCAAATGTTTATTTCTTTTAATGTTGATCATAACTGACAACTAATGAAAACCCCAAATTCAGTATCTCAGAAAATTAGAATATTGTGAAAAGGTTCAATATTGAAGACACAGTGAAAAACTCATCAGCTAATTAACTAAAAACACCTGCAAAGGCCTTTAAAGGGTCTCAGTCTAGTTCTGGAGGTTACACCATCATGGGGAAGACTGATGACTTGACAGTTGTCTAGAAGACGACAATTGACACCTTGCACAAGGAGGGCAAGACATAAAAGGTCATTGCTAAAGAGGCTGGCTGTTCACAGAGCTCTGTGTCCAAGCACATTAATAGAGAGGCGAAGGGAAGGAAACAATGTGGTAGAAAAAAAGTGTACAAGTAAGACCTGGAACCTGTACCTGTAACCCTGGAAAGGATTGTGAAACAAAACCCATTCCAAAATGTGGGGGAGATTCATAGAGTGGACTGCAGCTGGAGACGGTGCTTCAAGAACCACCACACAGACGTATGCAAGACGTGTTTCAGCTGTTACATTCCTTGTCAAGCCACTCTTGAACAAGAGACGGCATCAGAAGCGTCTCACCTGGAACTGCTGCTGAGTGGTCCAAAGTTATGTTCTCTGATGAAAGTAAATTTTGCGTTTCCTTTGGAAATCAAGGTCCCAGAGTCTGGAGGAAGAGAGGAGAGGCTGAGAATCCATGTTGCTTCAGGTCCAGTGTCAAGTTTCCACAGTCAGTGATGTTTGGGGTGCCATGTCATCTGCTGGTGTTGGTCCACTGTGTTTTCTGAGGTCCAAGGTCAATGCAGCCAGAAGTTTTAGAGACTTCATGTTTCCTGCTGCTGACCAACTTTATGGAGATGCAGATTTCATGTTCCAACAGGACTTGGCACCTGCACACAGTGCCAAAGCTACCAGTACCTGGTTTAAGGACCATGGTATCCCTGTTCTTAATTGGGCAGAAAACTCTCCTGACCTTAAACCCATTGAACTCTATGAAGTATTGTGAAGAGCAAGATGTGATACACCAGACCCAACAATTCAGAAGAGCTGAAGGCCACTATCAGATCAACCTGGACTCACACCTGAGCAGAGACACAGACTGATCCACTCCATGCCACGCTGCATTGTTGAAGTAATCCAGGCAAAAGGAGCAACAACTACTGAGTGTTGTACATGCTCATACTTTTCATGTTCATACTTTTCATGTTCATACTTTTCAGTTGGCCAACATTTCTAAAAATCCTTTTTTTAATTGGTCTTAAGAAATATTCTAATTTTCTGAGATACTGAATTTGGGGTTTTCATTAGTTGTCGGTTATAATCATCAACATTAAAAGAAATAAACAGTTTAAATATATCAGTCTATAATGAATTAATTTAATATACAAGTTTCACGTTTTGAATGGAATTACAGAAATAAAATCAACTTTTTCATGATATTCTAATTTTATGACCAGCACCTGTATGTAATAAATGGACATGTATTCAGGATTGGGGTGTGAGGGAATTCATGCTTTAGATTTTGATTACTCCAATAGTGCTGATGGGTGGATTATGTACTATTGGCAATACTCTTGTTTCTCATCGGGGCTGCCGGACGGGAAAGGACACAAGATTATATGATGCTTTCAAATTATTGTATTTTGACCCAAACTATTGTATGTGCAAAGTGAGGGTGTGTGTTCTCAGCCAGCGGTGTGGGAGGAAGCTGAGGTGTTTTGGTTGGAAAACATGTGCACAGTAAAGAGGGTACCTAGAGAGCACACTGTCTGGCTGTTCGGGTCAGGCGGAATGTGGGCAGTATACATATATATATATATATATATATATACCAAAATATATACCTAAGTATGCCCCCACCTGCCTGG